TTTTGCCAAAACCGGTTTGGCTCAGTGGTAGAGCATCGATCTGCGGACCGAAAGGTCCCAGGTTCGATTCCGGTCAGGAGCATGTACGTTGGTTGTGGGCACATCCCCGGTAGAGGGTGTGCAAGAGGCAGCTGGTCGATGTTTCTCTCTCATCGAAGTTTCTAGCTCTCTATCTCTCTTTCTTCCTCTCTGTAAAAAAATCAATAAAATATATATATTTTTTAATAAAATATGTTTTTATACAAAGGAACACAAAATGAACTTTTACATATTGAAGGTGAGAGATGAAGAAACCTTCCCCTAAATCTATCAGACTTTCAAAAAATGGAATTTCTAAAATGTCTCCCAGGTTGTATCTTTTAAAAATTTGGGTTTTTACTTAAAATTTTATCTAGTTAAAAATTAGATCTGGAGCAGTGGCTGTTTTTAACAAGTAGAAGACTGTGATGAGTTTAATGTATTTTACATTTCACTTCACAATTAAGTTGAGCAACAGTCTAGGCCAGAAATGTATACCATTATAAACTGCTAAGCCATTATTAGAAGATTTATTTAGACTTTGAATGCTTTTAAATTATATCCTAACTTGGAGTTTTAATTTGTCAAGTTCTCCAAGGCTTTGAAAGTTCAAAAAGATTCAAAGAATTGTTTTCATATATTCTCCTTCAAATAATGAATTTTCCCAAGAACACATTCTTAAACTGTAACAACCATGTGCTAGATGCGATCTGGCTCTCAGAGTCAGATGATCTGATAGTCAGTCCGATGTTGGCAGGGGGATTGAATTATCTTTGGCTCTATATCCCTGCACAGGTGCATGCTCTATCAAAGCCTCACTAGTCGAGATATATTACTCTTCACCTAGATTGTTTGTTAAGCTTCCAAGAATAAAATTGCAATTTCTTAGTCTTAATGGTTTTAAGAAAATCTACAGCTTATTTTAGAGTAATCTGTGACTGAATGTACTAAATAAGCCAGGTAAGGATACACACTTCCGAAAGCAAGAAAGGTATAATATTCAAGTTGGCTGCCTTTTATGAAAAACAGTATGTTTTATTGAGAAAGCTACCTTAATATGCTTGTGAGAAAAATAGAGTCATTTGGATAGATTATTTTCTTAAGAGGAAGTATGTTCATTTTATTTTAGAACACTGACCCAGAAAATTAGAACCAGGAGTTTCACTCATCTTATTTGCTTTTCCTTTTTGTCTTGATAAATTACCCAGTAATTCTTATATTACTGGGGGAGTAGCTGTTTTCATTTTACTTTTAGATGGTTTTTGTGTTGCTTTGAGGAACTCAGTAATTTAGTTTCACATTGTTTTTGCATTACAAATGTAGCTAATGTTTAAAATGAATGGACTATTATAGTCTTAGCACTGGACGTACAGCCTACAAAGAACCTTTATGAGCTGATTTTAGCACTATTTTCTAAGGATTTCTTCCAGAAACAAACAACCCTCCCATGCATAATATCAACTTTTTCTTTTGAATGTTTCAGCTGTGTTTAAAATGTACAAGTTACAGCCTTTTAAAGCATTTCTTTTATCTAGATATAATTTCACAATGAAAATGATATTTAATGTTTGAGTTATTCTTCTTTCCTTTCTTCTCATCCCATCCACAGACCTATAGAGTTTATTTCAACAGCTTAATCTCAGTACAAGCCATTAAAATTAATATTATAACACTGTCAGTGCAAAGTAAATTCCATTGATACCAGGAAGATAAGCTAGATTTCTGTTTGAGGATATTTCAATCCTTTAAACAGGCTAGGAATACTTTGGATTTATTCCCACATACAGGAGTCTGACTGATAATTGTTTTTTCAGATTTCCAAAGTGAATGATACACTGCATTCAGCTGTGAAAAGTGCTCTCCTTGAAAATGATTGCTTCATCTTACCCTAGCTACATAGATAGGCTAGAGCCCTTTTACCCCATAATAAGTTTTTAACAAATTGTCCTTTCAGTACTTTTCGAAATGTTTGGATTGATGCTAAATAATTCATTTTTGTTATCCAACATAACAAGATTTTTCTAATTCTGTGGATGCTTCTGTGGAAACCAGTTATATGGCTCATGTACCGTGTGGAAATATGGAAGATTGTGACATTCATTAAAAGAATGTGGATAAACTCCCATTAAGTGCCTGGTATGTGCCATTCACTGTGCAGGACAATTACATATAATTTCTCTAGAAGTAGATAACTAAATTACTGAGAGTCTCCCAAATCAAAACACACACACACATACCATTTAAGAATGACATGGAGCCAAAACTGGTTTGGCTCAGTGGATAGAGTGTCAGCCTGCAGACTGAAGGGTCCCGGGTTCGATTCCAGTCAGGGGCATGTACCTTGGTTGTGGGCATATCCCCAGTAGGGGGTGTGCAGGAGGCGGCTGATCGATGTTTCTCTCTCATCGATGTTTCTAACTATCTCTCTCTCCCTTCCTCTCTGTAAAAAATCAATAAGATGTATTTTTTTAAATAACATTTTATAAATTAAGCCAAATGCAAAGACTTAAACTACTTCCCCAAGTCATGCCACTAGTATGTACGTGATGGCAATAGGATTCTTTTTAGCTCCAAGAAATAAAACTACTTTCAGTTGAGGAGAATGGAATTAGAATAGGGTAGAATGCATTCGGTCCTAGTATGTGGAATACAGATGAAGTACCCAGTCCAAAGATTGCTTGCCCTGCTATGGCCTCAAATCAGCTAAGACATATTGGCAGCTTTGTGGAACCAAGTTTTCCTTTTTCCCTATAAAATTGGACCTTATATGATGATGAAAATGATAATGGGCAAGATGACCATAACCTGTAGTCACTGTTGCCGTTCGAAGACACATGTATTATAGTAAAGTACTTAGGGTGTTTCCTGGATAAAGATGGTCTGGCTTACACAGTTAAGTGCAGTCCAGCAGATCTAAGAATAGATTCCATATTTCAATGTCTGATTCTCAGCTTTTTAGCTTATAAATATTAATAAGCATATATCTCAATGGATTCCAGAGGATGGAATTATTCTAACCAAATTCACAAACCAGAATACCAATTTATTAATATTACCAAGAAAAGTAGGACTCTCCTGTGATCTGGTTCCCCTTGTTTATACTAATCAGCATTGTATCAGTCTGCTAGGGCTACCATAACAATACCATTGACCAGTTGAATTAAACAACAGAAATTTATTTTTCCAGAGTTCTGGAGTCTGGAGGTCCAAAATTGAGGTACTGCCAGGGTTGGTTTCTGATGAGACCTCTCTTTCTGGCTCGTAGACAGCTGTTTTCTTGTGTACTCACATGGTCTTTTCTCTGTGTGCATGCAGAGAGAGGAGTATCTGGTGTCCTCTCACCTCTTTATATATTTTATTACTTTTTTTTTCTTTTTTGAGAGAGAGAGAGAGAAAGAGATATCGATCTGTGTTCTATTTATCGTGTCTAGTAATAATGTCGTTTTTTAACATTCGTTTAAAATCTTGCTTGGCGTTGACTTGTATTGACAGAACCTTCAAACACGTGGTATCTACAGAACGTGTGAAGTGCAATGAACAAGTTTTGCTTGAAAAAGTTTGTGTTTGGTTTGGTTTTTGTTGCAAAACTAGGGCTAAGAAGATGGCGGATGAAGAGCATATTCGGCACTGCATGCTTTACGAGTTCCAATTAGGAAGAAAAGCAAGTGAGGCTGCAAAAACATCTGTAGTGCTCTTGGTCAAGATGCAGTTAGCGCCAGAAAATGCCAGCGTTGGTTTGAGAAATTTCGCGAGGGAAATTTTTCGTTAGAGGACAAGAGTGGTCGAGGCCGTGTGTCCAATTTTGATCAAGAAGCTCTTCAAGCTCTTTTGGTGCAAAATCCTCAAATTACCCAACAAGAGCTTGCGACAACTTTAAATTGTTCACAGAAAACAATTTCCAATCAATTGCGTGCACTTGGCAAAGTCCAAAAGTTTGGAAAATGGGTTCCTCATGAGTTGACCGACAACAACCATAATCAAAGAGTCACAATTTGCAGTTCGCTCCTCTCTCGTCAAAACCGTTTGCCGTTTTTAGAGCAAATTGTTACCGGAGATGAACAATGGGTGCTGTATGTTAATTTGAAAAGGCGGCCTCAATGGTTGGACAAAAATGAGGCTCTGCAGCCCACGCCAAAACCTGACTTGCATGCGAAAAAAGTGATGTTGTGTGTTTGGTGGAATTTTAAAGGAATTCTTCATTATGAACTTTTACCATCTAACCAAACCATTACAAGTGCAGTGTATAGTGCCCAATTGGAAAGGTTAGCCCAAGCTTTAAGAGAAAAAGAACCCGCGCTGATTAATCGAAAGGGCGTAATTCTTCACCATGATAACGCACGACCGCATACTGCAAGAATCACTGCTGAAAAACTGCGCCAGTTGGAATGGGAAGTTCTCCCTCAACCTGCATATTCTGATATTGCCCCTTCCGATTACCATTTGTTTCGTTCTTTGCAAAACTTTCTTCTTAGAAAAAAATTTAATAATGAAGAATGCCTCAAAAATGCATTGACCGAATTTTTTGCATCAAAATCACAAGAATTTTACAACAGAGGGATTAAAATGCTTCCTGAGCGTTGGGCACAAGTAGTAGAAAACAACGGCAACTATATTGTTGATTAAATTTTGTTGTATTGTTTAAATAAATTCGATTTTAAAAAGGTATTAGAAAACGACATTAATTATTACTAGACCTAATATTTATGCATTCATTGGTCGGTTCTTTTATGTGCTCTGACTGGAGATGGAACCCACAACCTTGGTATATCAGGATGATGCTCTTATAAATTAACCAGTACTATTGGATTAGAGCCCCACTGGTATGATCTCATATAACTTTACCCCAAGTACAAAAACAGTAAGCACGTTGTTCAGATAGCATGTGTGGTGTTTCTCCCATGCTTCTGTATTCGTTTTATTTAGTCATAGGAGCGAAGCAGAATTATGTCATGCATCACTGGATTTTATTTTTGCTTTATTAGCTCCTCAAGTCTTATTAATCTATGAAATGGCAGAGAATGGAAAAAATTGTGACCAGAGACGTGTAGCAATGAACAAGGAACAATACAATGGAAACTTCACAGGTAAAGTATGGTGGTTTGGAGGGAGAATATGTACAGGTTTAAGTAATATTCTTTTCATTAGAATAAAATAGAAATGTCTATTACCTTGTTAATAAAATGATATTCTATATAATAATGCAAGGTTCTTATATATTGTATATAAGATTAATTATATATTTTTTACTCTTCATAGTAATTATGAGTCAAGGCCTATAAAGTGATGCTAAATTGCCCTTCATAGAAGTGGGTTAATTTTGTATTCCAGTACAAAAGAGAAACTTGTATCCTGACAATAATTGCATAGAGCAGAAGCACCCAGCCCATTGTCACAGTGTGAACCAGGTTGTTGTTGTTTTTTTGAGGTTTATGTGCAGTTCCTTCAAATGTGGGATGAATTTTGAAAGTGATTGGAAAAAGCGAGCATTTTGTTTAATTTCTGCACTCATGTTTTTCAGATCCCTCTTCAGTGAATGAAAAGAAGAAGAGGGAGCGGGAAGAAAGGCAGAATATTGTCCTGTGGAGACAGCCACTCATTACCTTGCAGTATTTTTCTCTGGAAATCCTAGAAATCTTGAAGGACTGGACCTCAAAGTAAAGAGTCTTCCATTGCCTTTTATATAAACCTTACTGGGACGTGTTTATTTTTCTTTCTATAGTTTGAAGAAAAATAGATTAAGAGAACATATTGCTAATTGCTCACTGGAATATTTACAGTTGATCACTGACAGTCTGATGTTGAATCTTTTATGCGAAGCAGAATCCTGAAAAGGAGATGTTTTTCTTCTGGCTTTACCTTCAGAAGAAAGGCCTATGTACATTGGATACACTTACTCTGCAGTAGGACAAAGTTCAGGATATGTGGCACAGTTACTGATAGTTTGAGCCAATGAGAAAGGAAATGTATTCTATCTTCAAATTGAGTGTGTCTAAGCCCTATTTCAGATATCATAAAGAGCAAGTTGAACTTTTACATGCCTTATCATTTTTTGCCTTGCCTTTCCAAGTTATTATCTGTAATATTATCCTACATTTTTATTGTATTTACAGTTTATAAAACATTTTTTAGTTCATTTGAACCTTAAAAACAACTCCATAAAGAAGGTAAAACAACTATATGATTATTATTATTATTATTATTTTAAAAATGAGAAATGGGGGGCAATGTTAAAATATGTACACAGATAATAATTTAATTAAAAAATGTAAAAGAAAAAAAAGTGAGAAACAGAATTAGATTGGTTAAGTGTCTTACTCAAAGTGCAATATTTAAGGGACTTGAGACTCTGATCCAAGTCTTCTGACTTGAAGGCCAATACTCTTTCCATTATATTATAACGAGGGCCCCAGTGCATGAATTTGTGTACCTTGAAAGGAACTGTGGGCCACAAGGTTGTGGTGGGCACAGGTGCAGGTCTCAGCCCATCCTCCACACCCCCGCCCATCCCCTTCTGCCATGGGCCCCAGTCCCCTGTCTGCCAGCAGACCCACTCCCACCGTGCTGACAGTACCAGTCCCACTCACACCTGCTGCTGGCACTGGCCCCAAATGCTCTGCGCTGGAAGCAGGTGCAAGCAGTGGCTGCTGCCCTGATTACCCCTCAGAAGCAAGGAAAGGTGGAGAAGTCCTGAGGGGTGATCAGGGCTGGCAGCCGCTGCTGGCACCCGCTAATGTTGCCAAGCAATTGAGGACAGCGCTGGGCACCAGCAGTGAGTTTGAGCAGTGGCTCTAGTGCAGCGGGTGCAAGCGCTGGGCAGGACCATGGCACATGGGAGCAAAGAATTAGCAGTAACTACCAGAGGCTCGCCCTGATAATAGCGACTGGCTGGAATCCTCACTTAACTGCTCCGCCATCCTGCTGTGGCCGACACCCGCCATGTTCCGTGCTCTGCCTACTCCTGCCAATGCCCACCATGTTCTGCACGCGCCCCCTGGTGGTCAGCACACGTCGTAGCAACTAGTTGTTTGGTTGTTCTGCCTTTCAGTCTATTGCATGTTAGCCTTTTATTATATAGGATGCTTCTCCCAATTAGAAGTCTGGTGTAAACGAGATCAGTATTTGGATAAGAGAAAGAAATTAAATTCTGTATCCATGAATCTCCCCTTGACCTCCTTCTGTACCCCAAGAGACTATAGTGTTTAAGGACAAAAGAGCTTATCACAGAAAGAATTGATTCTGTAGGTGAGCTAAATAACCTAAGTGCTTCAATAAGAAATTATCTTGAGATGCTGAAACTTGAAAATGAAACTGAGATATTTTATTTTTTTAAATATGTTTTTAAGATTATGGCATCGTCAAAACATTGTGGTGTCTTGTTTACTGCTGCTTGCTGTGCTTATAGCTACGTATTATGTGGAAGGAGCACATCAACAGGTAAGAAGTTCAGCAACTCTGCTTCTCTTCTTGAACCTTTGCTAATCCCGAACAGTTTCAAAGTGGGACTATTGTGGGTTTCATAGAATTTCTACCCTTAACATTAGGTTTATTTGTTTGTGTTTATCTCATAATCGGTTTCTTAATGTACTTTTAAGGCCACATATTTAACAATACTCTTGTAGCAGTTCATGGCTGCTCAGCATTTACATTTGGTATATATCATCTCTTTTTAGCTTCAAGGTTTTAAATGTAACTTTCCTGATGGTATTTATTCAAAGCAGCATGAATTCTTTACTCACTGTCAAAGTCTTAGGTTTTCTTTAACACATTCCTGTGATCCACCCAAACAGATATGTTCATCCTACGTTCAGGTTTGAGGTGGTTTTTTTTTGTCATCTCTGCTATCATATATTGAAGGAATTAATTCCCTTTAAAGAGTTTTTAATATTAATAGTTTCATTTAGTTGGTTTATCTTATTTTTACAGTAGTTGATAAATACCACATTTCTGTTTAAGTTCTGGTTTTGGTTTTTCACCTTGACCCTTCTGTTTTTCAGTATGTGCAGCGAATAGAGAAGCAGTTCCTTCTGTATGCCTACTGGATAGGCTTAGGAATTCTGTCTTCTGTTGGGCTTGGAACAGGACTGCACACCTTTCTGCTTTATCTGGTAAGAATAACTTTTAATAAGCAAGATTAGAAGAGATTATGTTTTTATTGGTATTTTTACTTCAGATATTAAAATTCCAAGATTTTAATTTAATTACCTTTGTGTCTTATAAACATCCGAATCCTCAAATCAGTGCTTTGAGTTTTATTTAGAATTCTGTTTTGTTTTTCCTTTTGGGTTGAGGGTTTAAAAATAGAAGGGGGAACAAAAAAGAGAAGGGGGGGAACCTCTTAAGGAAATGCTACTGTTTCCTTAAATTAGTTTAGCCAGGAAATGTTTTTTGCTTTCCAGATCTTGGGATAATGGTTCTTTTAGTTATGCAATTATCCTTTTAAGAATTAAAATTATTTAAATGCACAAAATTCCATGTTAGTCTTAGGATTAATTTGGACAGTTTACTTTCGGTTAATCAGCCGGTGAGAAACAGTGTCTTCTCTCACACCCTCAAACACTGTGTACTCACCTGAATCCATATTTTGACATTCTTATTGAATGTTGTTGATGAAGCATCACATATGTATTACTAAATGCTTTCTTAAATCCTTTTAAACCTGAGTATAAAATGAGCCCCTCCTAAAAAAATTTTTTTTTTTTTACTTAGTTGAAATTAGAGAGATAAAAAATGGGGTTTTTTTTTTGAACATTGACAAATAAACTGGAAAAATAACGGAGCCAGGACCAGAGGATGACGAGCAAGACATCCAGGGCACAGAATTTAATAGGCACTTTCAGGGCATGTCTAAGTGTGGCTGATGAGTGAGGGCCTCAGTAAATTGTGTGCCCTGGATGCCTCTCTTGTTTCACTCTATTCTTGTCCTTGGATACATTCACAGCAATTCCACATTTGAAAACAGCTTGATCTTGATTGGGGGAAACAGGTGGAAAGTTGTCACAGCAGTACTGATTGCTGGTGTTAAATGCTCAAACGCTTCCGGTCTCTATGCTTCACGGATTCATTTCTGAAGTGGGCATGAAAAGTATTAAGGCAAACGTGGTCGGCAAACTGCGGCTCATGAGCCACATGAGGCTCGTTGGCCCCTTAAGTGTGGCTCTTCCACAAAATACCGCGGCCTGGGCAAGTCTATTTTGAGGAAGTGGTGTTAGAAGAAGTTTAAGTTTAAACAATCTGGCTCTCAAAAGAAATTTCAATCATTGTACTGTTGATATTTGGCTCTGTTGATTAATGAGTTTGTCAACCACTGTATGAAGGGATTATTGTTCTGAAGGCTGCTGAGTTAGTGGTCTGAAGAATTATTTGAGAATTAATCTATAATTCGTAATTTCTTCAAGTTATGGGAGTTTAAAACCTGGAATTTTAGAATTCTGTTCATGATTGCTTGCTGATTTTATTCCAAATAGAGATATAAATCCTAGGGAAGTAAACCATATGAGTGTTTCATTAATACTACATAAATAATGCTACTCTAGAGGTCAAGATTGAGAGAAAAAAGAAGAGAGTTACAGGATACAAGTTACCTTTCTATTCTTTTCTAGACCTGCTCTCTGAGTTTCCTGGGGTAACCCAGATTAAGGAACTCATTTGTAGCATTTGGTTAATTTGAAAGTATCTAAAAGGTAACTCAGACAGCAGATTCTGCTATACCTTAAAAGGATTTTAATGAAGCTTATAAAGTATACAATAAGTTCGAATAGATATCCATGAGAAACAAAACCTTTATAAAATAACATATTATTCTTTTTTTTAATATATTTTTTATTGATTTTGTAGAGAGGAAGGGAGAGAGATAGTTAGAAACATCGATGAGAGAGAGTCATCGATCAGCTGCCTCTTGCACACCTCCTACTGGGGTTATGCCCGCAACCAAGGTACATGCCCTTGACCAGAATTGAACCCGGGACCTTTCAGTCCCCAAGCCGACACTCTATCCATTGAGCCAAACCGGTTTCGGCAATAAAATAACATATTATTCTTGTTCAGAAAGTATGAAAATACAGTCAAGGAACACCTGAAACTGTGTTGTATTCTAATAAAGCTATATAAAAACTTTGTAGATTATCATTGCTGATAACTGGAGTCCAAGGTTGATCAGTCCACTTTTTTCACATTAGGTAAATTTGATTTTTCGAGTAAATAGAATTATTCAGAATTATTTTAAATGTCCTAAAATTAAATACAAGTAAAATAACCAGACCAGCATTTTATGAATATAAAATTTTGGCTTTATATTGGGAGATAGATTGAAGGAAGGAGAGAAGATGAATAGTTAAAATAATCCTTCTGAGAGACACAGGCTTCTATGGATGTGGCCAAAAAGTATGGCAAGAAAGGGATATTTCAAAAAAATTTTCAGAGAGAACTCAAGCTGAATGAAAATAAAAGAGGGCATAAAATTTTTAATGTTTCAAGAGTAGTTGGAATGACAATGGCATTATAGTGAAATAGGTTAAATCTTAGAGAACTTTTATTGATACAAAGATGACATGCTTCAGTATGGGGGAAGAAGGAGTCAAAGATAAGTTTTACCTAAGTAATTAGATATTGATATTATTAACTGAATAGAGTTATATGTTCATTTGTTTATTAAGTGCCTCTTATAAATATCTGAAAAGTGAAATTTAAAGGGATATTAATTATATTGTAAGGTAAATTAAATCTTCACCTGATCCAGGTGGGTTGCTGGTGCCAGTGGTTGGATAGAGCAAAAAGGAAAGTTTGTAAAGGACTAATTAAACTTACTTTTTTTTTTTTTTTTTTTTTTTTTTTAATAAATAGGCTTTATTCTTTTAGAGCAGTTTTAGGTTTAGAGAAAAATTGAGCAGAAAGGACAGAGTTCCCATATACTTACACACACACACACACAGTTTTCCCTATTTTTCAAATTTCTATTTTTTAAAATATTTTAATTGATTTCAGAGAGGAAGGGAGGAGGAGTGACAGGTACAAACATTAATGATGAGAGTGAGTCCCTGATTGGCTGCCTCCTGCATGGCCCCACTGGGGATTAAACCCACAACCTGGGCATGTGCCCTGACCAGGAATTGAACTGTGACCTCCTGGTTCTTAGGTCAATGCCCAGCCACTGAGTCACACCACCGGTCCCTGATTTATTATTTTTTAATCGCTGAATAATATTCCATTTTCTGGGTTTGCTACTACCATTTATTTACCCATTCCTTTATTAAAGGAGATCATAGTAGTTTCCAGGTTGTGGTAATTATTAATAAAGCTGATATAAACATCAGTGTGCAAGTTTTTCTGTGTATAAAAGTTTTCTACTTTTTTTTGGATAAATACTTAGGGACATGATTTGTGGATTGTGTATATTAATTGCTAGTATTATAGGAAAGCAGTTGACTTTTTGTGTATTATCCTTGTATCCTGCAACCTTGCTATAATTACTTAATAGTTTCAGGATTTTTTTAATCAATTCTTTAGAATATTTTACACAGATAAACCATCTCATATGCAAATTAAGATAGCTTTATTTCTTCTTTCTCACTCTGTATACTCTTTCATTTCCTTTTCTTATCTTACTGCGTTAGCTAGATCTTCCAGTATGATGTTGAATAGGAGTCATGAGGAGCCATCCTGCCTTGTTCCCAGTCTTAGTGGAAAAGCTTGTAATTTCTCACCATCAAATATTATGTTAGCTATAGGTTTTTTATGGATGTTCTTTATAAAATTGATGAAGCTTCAAGGTTTGTCATATTCCTTTTCACCTACATATTGTGTCGAGATGGAGGCTGAGTGTCTGACTGTGATGAGCACATTTCCTTTGCTGACCTGGGGTGGATATGCAGAGGAAGCCACTGAGGTTGGGGGTGTTTGTTACAGCCTGTCCTTACCGATAGACTAGTTAACGTTTATTGAATTGCTGCGCTCTCTGCTCAGTACTTTACAGGAAATATTTTATGTAGCTCTCCCAAGAGCCAAGGTAGTTAATAGCAAATGTGTAATAAAAAAATGTTTTCAGTAAGTATTAGTATAGACTATCCATTTGTGAACTTTGGCAGTTATAGAATAGAGAAAAATAAGCAGGAAACCAGAGGCAAAGGAGAATCAAATAAAGGTTTTACAAACTTGATCTGTGTATTATTTTAGAAGTCATTCCAAATAATCTCTGATTAGGTTGTAAAAACACTTTCTTGATGATAGAAGGTCAACATTTTGTCAAATATACACTGAGAGGCCAGATTATTATGACCACCCCGTCAGTACTTTGTTGGTCCACCTTTTGCCTTTAATACTGCGGCAGTTATTCTTGGCACTGACTCCATGAGATGTTGAAAGGGGATGCGAGGAATCTGACACCATGGCTGATGAATAGCACTGTCCAATTCTGTGAGATCTGATGGTTGTGGAACCAGCTGCCTGATGGCTTTTTTAACTTCGTCCCACAAATGCTCAATTGGACTGAGATCTGGTGATTATGGGGGCCACCTAAGCGAGGTAAAGTCTCCCTCATGCTCTTGAAACCACTCCTGCACAGTACGAGCACCATGGCATGGCGCATTGTCTTGTTGGAAGAAGCCACCTCCATTGGGATACACCATCAACATGATAGGATGAACTTGATCAGCAACGATTCTCGAAAATAAGACATCCTCCGAAAATAAGAACTACTTACAGGTTTCCTTTGAAATATAAGGCATCTTCCCGAAAATAAGGCCCCCCCTAGGCTAAACATGAGAGATTTGGTCCACTGATTCTGAAAGAAATGGAGTCACAAGAAATTCACCAGGAAATTCAGGAATTGGATTGTTAAGATTATGTTCCAGATGATGATGACACAATTGTCATTGAATAAACGAGTAAATTCTTGATACTGTAGGATTCACAGTCTGGTTTGTGTTGACAACTACCGTACTACTGTACTGTATACAAGTAATAAATTTCCTTTATTTTCATTTAACAATAAATGTGTACCATATTCTTCATGGAAAAATAAGACATCCCCTGAAAATAAGACCTAGCGCATCTTTGGGAGAAAAATTAATATAAGACATTGTCTTATTTTCGGGGAAACAGGGTAGATATG